GTTTTTGGACAAGTCAATCAGTGTCTCTCTTTTCTCTGTGGAGATTATTATGGCCTTTCATGTTTAGTTGTTTAGTTGTTATACTAAACTGTAACAAAAGAAAAATATAATGGATGATTATTCTTGGCTCTGCCTTTGCCATCAAATACATTGGAATTCTTGAGTTAAAGCTTCCTAAAGTCTCGGTCCTGACTATTTTTGCTTTGGTAGTTACCACTAAAAATGTCAGGCCTTAGCCTTATTGGCACAAGCTAATCCTTTTTGCCTAACTTTGATTCAGTCAACACACCTACTAAGTACCTAGTATGTGTCAGGTGTCATGCTGGGTTCTAGAGATGGGGCAGTGAGTCAGACCAACCTTGATGCAACCTTGATGCAGCTTGATGCAGTCTAACAGGGCACACAGATGTGGAACAAGTGATCTGTCACAAGTGACCCATCACAACGGCACCCAGTGTCCTAAAGCAGGGGGCTGTGGAGGCACCTCACCACTTCCCAGTGGGTGGGAAAGAAGGGCAGAGAAGTCTGCAGAGGCTTTAAAAGCATTGTCCTCAGACCAGCAGCCTCAGCATTACCTGGAAGCTTGTTACAAATACAGATTCTCAGGCCTGCCCCAGACCTACTCATTCCGGCTCTGGAAGTGGGGCCCAGCAGCCTGTTTGAACCAGTTCTCTTGGTGATTCTGAGGCACATTAAAGTTTGAGGACGACTAGCCTAGAGGAAATAACATTTAAGCTAAGCGCTAAAGCTACACCAGTCAATACAGTAGCCACTGGTCATGTGTGGCTATGGAGCCCTTGAAATGTGGTTAGTCCAAATTGAGATGTGCTTTATGTATAAAATACACAACAGGTTTCAAAGACTTACTAAGAAAAAAAGAAAGTAAAATACCTCATTGAGAATTTTATATAGATCATATGTTAGAATGATAATCTTTTGAACCTAAAGGGTTAAATAAAATGTATTATTAAACTTTCACCTATTTTTGCTGCTTAGTATGGCTTTTAGAAAATTTTAAATTACAAATTTAAAAAAGCCAATTATATGTGGCTTGCATTACATTTTGATTGGACACAGCTGATCGAAAGGATAACTAGCAGGCCCCCAAAGCAGGGAGGGACTGAAGTGGGGGTGGAGGGGAGGGGGTGTTGGGTGAGGGTTCTGTATAGGAGACAGTGTGTGCAGAGGTCCCGAGGCCAGAAAGAACATGGCATGTTCAAGGCAATAAAAGAAAACCAAAGTCTTGCAGGTCACATTAAGGGTTTTGAGCTTTGTCCTAAGATCAACAGGAAGTAATCTGAGGGTTTAATTAGGGTACTCAGTTTTCAGGAAGTTTGTAGCTAATACATGAGGGCAAGAGAGCTACAGCTGAATATTGCAAGGCTCAGAATCAAAGCTCCCCCCACCTGCCCAAAAGATGGTGGGGATGGAGGCATTTGGACAGGAAGTACTATTGAGAGGGAGGGAGCGGGACCCTGCTGGTCAGCAGCCCCTGCCCCAGGATACGAGGCACAAACACCCCTGCTGAAGAGAGAAGCAGACACCTGGGAATAGTTTGGTGTTCAGTTCATTTTCAGCTTGGTTAAAGTTGAGAGCTAGAGGAAACATTCCAGAAGAGTCCAAAGTTGAGTAGGAGTTTGATTACAGAGCTGGGACTCTGCAGGGCACTGGCGAAGTTTTGGTGAAGAGAGGATCAGGGACAAGGAAGCCTGGCACACGTGGGGATTAGAGGGTCTCTCCTTTGAAAGAGTGTGCTGGACAACCACAGAGGAAGGCTGGTGTTAGAGCCTGGAGGCTTGGGGTCTGACCAGCTCCAGGGTGCAGGAAGGCGGGGCTGGGGGGTGGTGGTCCTCATTCACCTGTGGCCTGGAGGAGGTTTCTCTTTAAGTCACAGTCATACACTAGCAGACTCAATCTACCCTCAGAAATGTCTTGTTTAGCTCACATTTTTAAAATGTATTCAAATTAGTTGCTAGTATTTGTATTAGATATCACATAAAATTCACATTTCCAGTTCTTTTGAGAATTGGAAGATTGAGGACCCCAGTTCCTCAGTCTCACAGAGAAATGGGCTGGAGCTAAGTAGCAGCTACTCCCTTCATTTTTCATTTGAGCTTCTAAGAGCTGAAATGATCACATTAAAAAAAAGGCATTTATTTACCCTAAAAACAAAACAGAATCCACAGGTTCTGTCTGGTCTGAGTCTTGCATTCTCTCCAGTCTTTGTTTTCAGCAGCCCTGGCTTCTTGTTCTCCAGAAAAGTTCTAGAATGGTACCCTTAGCTCAGCGAGACCAGATTATACAAATGCTTTGTCCATGCACACGAGTTGCGTCCATCAGAGAAGCGCGTGTTCCCTGCAGTTCAGCACTTTTCCTACCACCTTGCAGCCCTGCAGCACTGCTCCTCACAGATCTGCCTGAAACTTTAAATGAAACTGACTACAGTGTTATGTTTGTTGACACTTGACATACCAGCTCCCACAATGACTAAATTGTAAAGAATGCAAACTATAAACCTCAACAGCTCCTTTGTGAATATTCAGTAGTTAATTAAATGGCAAAGATCAGTTGATAGCAAGGAGGAGAGAGGGAAGGGACTTTCTGTTGACCTGAGGTAGATGCTCCAGTTTGGTACCTTATCCTGTATTCGCCCTCTGTACACAGGAGTAAAGCGCAGGTGTGTATTTATTTGTAGAGTCCTTGTGGCTGTAGCACTATTTCTCTGCTCCAATATATATATTTTGAGGGGAAGAAACAGAAATTGTTTTATTTCTTTAAGTAAGCAAATAGAGCAGATTAAAATACTGCAGAGCTTGGTGATAGTTGCCTCAGTGTTCATGATATTATTGCTACATTTTTTTTGTTGCCTCCATATAGTTTATAATCAAAAGATGATGGAGAAGTGCCTCTGCCCATAATATTTGTCCATCACACCTTCTTCATTTGAAGGGAAAGTAGCTTCATCAGCCTAAGGAGCTTCTTGTTTGACAAGACACAGTAAGGGCTGAGGTAGAGAACAATTGATAACTTCTCTTTTCTCCTTCCCCCTCCTCACCACCACTGAAAACAAAACAGTAAATGTTGCGTGGGCATGGATCCAGTTTTTGATGGGCCTGAAACTTCTAGTACTTAGTGGATTGGGGTGGGCCCTTTAAAAAAAAAAAGCAATACAGAAGTGTCTTTTGCTGATTAAACACACACACACACACACACACACACACACACACATACATTCGCAACCATGTGAATTCATTATTTGGTCTCTCCCAGTGCCTTAGAAGGAGTTTGTTCAAGTGAGCGGCCCTGAAGCTTGAGCTTCATTAGTTTCATGATTATTCCTCTTCCGGGCACCGGTAATCACCTAGCCAAACACTGCCCAATTCTTTCATCCCATTATCTGTTCTTCTGCCACCCGATGCCCATCTGGGCTGAGAATAGAGACATTGCTTTCCCTCTGGAAAGTCTTAGCTCTGCAAGGTACCTTCACCTGAGTCCTTAGCCCAGCTTCTTCCAGTGACCTGATGCTTCCCCACTTCACATGCACTAAATAAAGCGTCAAATTTTATTGTTACCTGATGAGAAAGGGAAGTCATAAACCTAACCATTATAGCCTTTCAGCCACTTGCAAATCACCTCAATCTGCTTCCTCCCTTGGGTCCTCTGTTGGCCCTCCCCTGAAATTGGAAGCTTTGTTTTAAAGACAATTTTCCCCCTTGAGAATCTCTAGGAATTACTAAAGGAAGGAAGAAATTAGATCTAGATTCCAATTAACTTTGTCACTGATTGTTATATAACTGGGTGAATCACAGTTTAAGTGGGACAGAAAATCTCCAGTTAATGGAAGTTGCCAAGAATGGCAGAAGACCAGGCCCTGATGTTCATATAATCTCTACTCTCCAGTGTGGAAAGTGCTGGGCTGGAGGTGGAAAGCGCTGGGCAAGTAAACTGAGCAGTGTTTGTCAGTGTAGATCTGTCCACTGCAAGGAGAGCGAGGCAGGCTGATGCAGCCAGCCCAAAGATTCTCCAGGGGACAGAGTGGGCCCAGCAGATCTTTGGGCCGGCAGCTTCACTTAGGAAGTTCAGAAACACTTTAGGGTTGCCTGTCCCTCTTTACTAGAGTCTTCGCCTGCTGAGATGTGGCTGGCATGTGTAGGACAGCTGAAGGGTTGAGAGAAGGAGAGGGGGGCCTCCTTATCAGTGTGCTTCCTCTCACTCCTACAGACCTGCTTCTGGTAATCTGTTTCTACAGGCAGCATCTCTCAGCTGCTTAATTTGATAGCTTGTTTTGAATCCAATTTATTCCTGCCAAAACTCTATCTTGAGGCAGGTGAAAGATTATTTTGGTGAGTACCATATTGGGTGTTAATGTTGATTTAAATCATTTTAATGTTTAAATGTTGAACCTTAGATTTTCTTGTATGTGGTGTAGCCTGTGGCATTGAAGAGCTAGTTGCCACCAATCAATGATTTACATACCAGATGAATGTGGTGGTTTATTGAATTAACATGTTTAATAACTTCGATAATAAGACGAGACTGGTAAATTATTTCTCCACCAGAGGGGAAACAAAATGAGAAGGGTGCCTTCAATCTCGAGTCAGCTTCTCAGACCTGGGAGTTCCCAACTACGAGTCATCCTTTTAGACACCTACAACTCATTCTATTAAATCCTGTCTTCTGTAAGCAGAAACTGCTTTTTTATCTGGTGGAAATGTAGCATGCCAATAGAATGAAGTGTTCTGTTGTTTTATGTCATACAATTAACTTACTACCCAGCCATCAGAAAATTTGTCAACTAACTAGGTTCCCTGTAATTATCTGTAGACTCTGCCTGTATGTGCCACAGTATGTATGAGTTGCCGGATGTCTGATGTCAAAACTGTTCAAGGAATCATTCCAGTGTGTTTTAGAAACTGGCTGTTGAAAAGTTGTGCTTCCACCTCCAGGTAGTTAGTTGAATGAAGAATATAACTTATACTTTTTGTTTCTTCTCTTTCTAGGTGTATTGCTGTCACTGAACACTGGCCCATTGGAAAGCACTAGAGAAGCTCAGCCATCAGTATGTCCAAGTACAAACTGATTATGTTAAGACATGGAGAGGGTGCTTGGAATAAAGAGAACCGTTTTTGTAGCTGGGTGGATCAGAAACTTAACAGTGAAGGAATGGAAGAAGCTCGGAACTGTGGGAAGCAACTCAAAGCGCTAAACTTTGAGTTTGATCTTGTGTTCACATCCATCCTGAACAGGTCCATCCACACAGCCTGGCTGATCCTGGAAGAGCTGGGGCAGGAGTGGGTTCCCGTGGAAAGCTCCTGGCGTCTCAATGAGCGTCACTATGGAGCCTTGATCGGTCTCAACAGGGAGCAAATGGCTTTGAATCACGGCGAGGAACAAGTGAGGCTGTGGAGAAGGAGCTACAGTGTGACCCCACCGCCCATAGAGGAGTCCCATCCTTACTACCACGAAATCTACAACGACCGGAGATATAAAGTGTGCGACACTCCTTTGGATCAGCTGCCAAGATCTGAGAGCTTAAAGGATGTTCTGGAGAGACTCCTTCCTTATTGGAATGAAAGGATTGCTCCTGAAGTATTAAGTGGTAAAACCATTCTGATATCTGCTCATGGAAATAGCAGCCGGGCACTCCTGAAACATCTGGAAGGTACCATCTTTATGCTACTACTTACTGAATGTTGCTACTGGGCCTTAATCTAGAAAGGAACTGGTTTCTAAGCTAATAATGCACAGTTTATGTAATAGACTTTCCTTCCCTATTACCTTTTGTCCTTTCAGTCTTTTCAGGATCCTTTCGTTCTATCAGTCAAAAATCCTGGGCCTTTTACATTCTTGTTATTCTGAAGCAGTGATTCTCTAACGTCAGCAAGCATCAGAATCACCTGGAGGGAGGGAGCGCTGGGACCACCACTGGTTTCTGGCCGCACCCTTGGAGTTTCTCAGTCTGTAGGCCTGGGGTGTGGCCCAGTAATTTGCGTTTCTAAGGAATTTTCAGGTGGTGCTGAAAATGATGCTTGGGCTTCTCCAAGTGCTTGAGAACCACTGATCTAAAAGATTCTGTGGCTTTTGTTGTAACAAGGTAAGAGGAGGCTAGGGAGGGAAGACATTTTTGTAGAAATGGTATGCAAGGTAAATTTTTTTTTCTTTTGAGTCTTTCAAGATAAGTAAAATCATATAGACTTCAGTTTTGCTCCCGTTCTTCCAACTTTAAACAATCATTGCTGTGTTTTCAGACCTTGGTTTCCTGAATAATTGTTTTGTTCCAGTCTTCTCTTTCCAGACCAGGCTTAATCATCGACTGGGAGAAAGTTCAGGAGAAGGAAAATAAAAAGATGGCTTATTGGAGATAATGAGTAGCCTTAATTTTATTTTAACTCCTTGATGTTATGTTCTAGAAAGTACGGTGTTATTACCTTCCTCTTAAGTAATATGAACTAAATGAACTCCTCTGAGGACTTGAGTTCACCAGTTTTGGGCACCAGTGATTGCACAGTGACAGCTTCAGGGGGTTTCTCCCTCCCCTCTCTCCCTTCACTAAATAATCCCGGACGATTGTGCATTTTGAGTGATCTGCTCTGTCTGGTGTTTTCCTGTCTATCGTCACTGTCAGCAGTCAGCCCACTGGCATTAGAATGCATTTCTCCAACATTCCCTTTTCATTCTGCTTTACTTTTCTATACGAGGCTGTGAAAAATGAAAAAGTTGACCTTGCACATGAAATAAGTGAAAATAGGTTATTGTTAACAAAATGAACTGATCTTTATAAGATTTTAATGTAAACCTTTTAGCATGTGTTTTTTTCCCCCTAGTTTTTATAACATGGCCAAGAGCCAAGTTGTTACTCATATACCTGACCTCCATTCATTGTGCAGAGATCTAAAATCTACAGGCTTTACTGGCTATTTAAAACATCATTGGCCAGACATGGCACTTGATCTGTTTGTGTATGTGTATATATCTTATTTACTCAACTATATAAATGGTATTATTCTTCCTTGTTCAGAATAGTCATGTATTAGATTAAATATCTATATATAACTTCATCATTACTGGGTTTATTATAGTACTTTATTGTTTGAAGAAGAGTTGAAGCTCCTCTTAGGACAACAACAAACTGAAATTCAGAATTTCAAAGTTTCTGCCAGAAGATGTATTCTCTGTCTCCATGCCAATTCCTTTTTTCCAGAGATGGGACTTAGATTTCTTTGTGGCCAGATTCCCTTCCCTTAAGAAAAGGCCATCATCTCCTTCAGGATCCTCTTTTCTTCCCCAGCTCAGCTAGGAAATCCTCCTTTTAAAGGCAGTTTCCTGCTGGTTAGTACCATTTACCCATCTTCAGGTTTAGAGCACTAAGATTATTCTGCAGCCCCGACCATAGCGTATTCTAGATACCCCCTTCCATTAGTGTGTTGGTAACTTAACCAACACACTAACCAACAGTAACCATTTGTTACTGTTATTTTTGAAAGAAATAGGAAGGTTTAACAAATGGTGGTGAAGAAGACTGCCACCATTGTAGGGATGCAGGGAAAATTACCTGTCGAGGGCAAGGTAACACATAGAAAAGCTGACTGTCTATATTTGAGGGAGGTTTTGAAACCATTAATAGTTTATTGAAAAACAATCAAATGGTATAGCTGCTTGGGAAAACAATCTGGCAGTTCCTTGACAGTGACACATAGAGGTACCATATGATCCAGCAGGTCCACTCCTAGGTACATACCTGTATTCATTTCCTAGTGCTACTGTAACAAAGTACCCAAAACTGGGTAGCTTAGAAAAACAGATAATTGTCTCACAGTTCTGGGAGCTGGAAGTCCTAAATCAAAGTATTGGCAGGGTCCTGCTCTCTCTAATGACACTAGGAGAGAATCCTTTCTTGCCTCTTGTAGTTTCTGGTGTTTGCTAGAAATCTTTTTTTTTTTTTTTTTTTTTTTTTTTTATGGCTGCGCTGTGCAGCATGTGGGATCTTAATTCCCTGACTGGTGATTGAACCTGTGCCCCCTGCAGTAGAACCACTGGACCGTGCTTAACCACTGGACTGCGAGGGAAGTCCAGAAATCTGTAATGTTTCTTGGTTTGTAGATGCATCAGTGCAACCCTCCATCTTCACTTGGTGTTCTCCCTGTGTGTCTCTTCTTCTTGTCCAAATTTTCCTATTTATAAGGACACCAATAATATTGGACTAGGGCCTACCCCAATGACTTCATTTTAACTTGATCACCTCTCTAAAGACCTGTTTCCAAGAAAGGTCACGTTCTGAGGTACTGGAGGTTAACTTCAGTATATCTTTTTTGGGGGAATGCAGTTCAACTCATAACAATACCTAAGAGAAGTGAAAACATATGTCCACATAAAAACTTGTACACAAACCGTCAAAGTAGTATTACTCATAATAGCCACAGCTACAGTGTGGAAGCAACCCAAATGCCCATCAACAAGTGATTAGATAAGTTAAATGCACTATGTCCGTACAATTAAATATTATTCTGCATCCAAAAAAAATGAAGTACTGACACATGCTATAACATGGATGAATCTTGAAATCATGATTAGATGAAAGAAGCCAGGACTTCCCTGGTGGCGCAGTGGTTAAGAATCTGCCTGCCAGTGCAGGGGACACAGTTTCGATCCCTGGTCCAGGAAGATCCCACATGCTGTGGAGCACTAAGCCTGTGCACCACAACTGCTGAGCCTGTGCTCTAGAGCCCGCGAGCCACAACTGCTGAGCCCGTGAGCCACAACTATTGAAGCCCGCATGCCCAGAGCCCGTGCTCCATAACAAGAGAAGCCACCACAATGAGAAGCCCACACACCGTAACGAAGAGTAGCCCCCGCTCGCCGCGACTAGAGAAAGCCCCGCGCACAGCAATGAGGATGCAACGCAGCCAAAAATAAATAAATAAGTAAATTAATTTATTAAAAAAAGAAAAGAAAAGCCTCCCCTGTTTAAAAAAAAGAAAGAAAGAAGCCAGTCACAAAGGATCACGTATTGTAGGATTATATTTGTATAAAATCTCCAGAATAGGCAAATCTATATAGACAGAAAATAGATGATTCATTTCCTAGGACTGGTGTGGAGGGGAAGAGGGTGGATTGAAGAGTGACTGCTAATATGTGCAGGGTTTCTTACTGGGGTGGCGAAAATGTTCTAAAGTTGATTGTGGCGATGGTTGTACAACTCTGAACATGCTAAAAGCCATTGTATACGTTAAGTGGGTGAATTGTATGGTATGTGAATTATCTCATTAAAGCTGCAAAATAATTTAACCAATGAGATTTAAAGATGAAAGGATTTGACATTGGCCTGGAAAGCAATAGTTTAGGGCAAATATGTGGAAGTGACAGATAACAAAGGAGATATGCATGGATGTGGAGTATAGAATAAAGAAAAGAATTAAAACACAGCTTTGACCATGGGGCAGAAATGTGTTTACAGGGATTACTGAGAAATAAGCAGGCATTTGTCCTCAGCCTTCATTTAACTTTTCTTCTGAAGGTCTTTTTTTTTTTTTTTAATTTGGATGTACAGAACTAAATTAACTTTCAGAGATTAATGAAATAGAAGCAACCTTAAATTATAACTCCTATCCCTATCACTATAAATAGGCTATATAGAAAATTTTTTTTTTTTTTTTTTTTTTTTTTTACGCG